TGGTTGGTGGGGGATGGTCAAGCAGCGGGAGTTGGCGTCAGGCCCTGATGACTCAGGTCCAGAAGTCGTCTTTGACCAGGTCCGAACGGGCTGTGTCTCGGGGTGAGTCTCGCTTTATACGAGGGTACTGGGGCACAATCCAAAAACGGTCTTCCAACCAGGTCAAAGGGCTAACTCCTTGAGGTGCCTGTGGGGCAAGTCTGACTATCTGTTCCTGCGCCAGAGCCTGCCATGAGAGGTGCTCAGTAAAAAGCAATCTCCTAACTGATTGGACAATTAATGTTGTGATCTGGGTATCCGGGTCTAGGATCCCCAGGCCCCCTTTGTCCTTGGGTTGGATCACGATGACCAAGCTACCCTGCTAATAACGTTCAAGAGTTCGTCATTACCTCTCCATAGTAGGACCGTCAATTGTCTTTTTAACGATTGGACAACCTCGTTGCTAAGAGTCCAAATTGCAGATTTATACCACAAGACCGCTAGTACTACACTATTGGTCGTGAGTGCTATGCCGATAAGGGAGGTGTGTCGGTCTTTCCAATTGGCTAATTTTTCTAGAGCAGGCCTAAGGATCCACTCATCATTCGATGCAGGCTTACCCAATGTCGTCAACTTAATTCCAAACACTCTAACTGGGACCGTATCCGGGAGCCATTTGACCCGTGGCAGCTCCGGCGGGCGCACCCCTTGATGGTGGATCCACCACCCCAAGGTCTTCTTTCCCCAGTTAACAATCATGTTTGAGACTGCCGTGAATCGATCAAATAATCTCATAATCTCTTCCATGTTTGTTGCAGTGACAAGTCATCCGCAAACATCGAGCAAACTGGGATCGCGTCCTCCGGGATAGTGGAGATCTGCAGTCTCCTCAAGTCCTTATTGGCGCGGAGGTTCGCTGTCAATGCTTCCATCACTATGATAAAGAGGAAGGGTGCCAAAAGGTCTCCTTGGCGAACAGAGCGTTGCAGCGGAAAAGCCGACGCTATCCTGCCATTGACTTGGATACACGTAGTGTTGTTGTGATGTAGTATTTCGGTCCAGCGTCGGAATACTGGTCCGAAGTTCATTTTTTCCATACATTTGTCTAAGGATAGCCAATCCACATGGTCATACGCTTTTTCAAAGTTAATTAAGACTACAACCGAGTTCTTCTTGTCTTGTCCAGGGTCGGGATCAGTCGGTTTGCCAAGGCTTTTATTAGCATTTTATAGACCACTGTGAGCAACGTAATCGGCCGGTAGTTCCGGTTATCCAGTCTATCCCCTTTTTAATGCAACAGGGTGAGGATACCTTGCCCCACCAACTTCCCCATCCACCATGTGTCCCACACATGGCGATAAAAATCCATGAGGTCTGGGGCCATCGGGGTCCAGAAGGTCTCCCAGAATTCCTGAGGAAATTCACCGATGCCCAGGGTGTTTTCTTCATCCATCTGCATAATCGTTGTTCAAATTTCCTCCTTGGACAAGGGACGATCGAGTTGTTGCTGGTCCGTCAGGTATTTTTCCAGTGGTTTCAATAAATGTTCTATTTCCTTCTCCCCGACATTCCTCTCCCGTTGTGCACATCTTAAAGTAAACAGATCCTTGAAAAAAGACTTGGCTATCTGCAAGCAGTTGGGGGAGGAGGTGACAATATCCTGGTGACCGGTCTTTGGATCGTATAACACCTCTATGGTTGTTCTGTGTGAACGTGCTCGAGTCATACTAAAGATTTTTTTGTCCATTCTTCCTTCCGTTAGTAACTTTGTCAGTCTTGCTCTTATTCTTGCTCCATCCTAATGTTGTGTGGCAAAGGTCTGGAGTCGCTTTTGTAGCCTTTGAACCTCTGAACACTCTTTTGGCTGTGTGTGTTGGACATGATCCTGGTGTTCCAGTTGCTGTAGTTGTTGGTGCACTTCCATCTCATGTTGATGGTTTCTAGCAGCTAAGAGGTTGGAATATTCTTGACATCTTTTACCCAGATAAAACAGTCCGTTGTTGAACCAGTCTATATCCTGCTGAATTTGTTGCCGTTGTGTGCGCCAGACTGCCCAACAGTCCTCAATATAATTCTGGAAGGTATTCTGTTTTAAGATAGAGGTATTGAGTTTGCAAAAGCCAGGTCCATGGTCGGGTTTCTGTTGGAACGGCAAAATGACCGTACATGTTTTATGATCAAGGCCTGGGTAAGGATTGGCGGGTAAGATTGTTGCTAGAAGCAGCGATCCTGCCATATCTTCCGAGATCAGGATTAAGTCTATCCGAGACCTCGACTCGCCCTTTGTACCAATCTTCCGTAGGCATGAATAGAACCTAGTGTTCAGGTTTAGCCTCCGGTAGGAATCGAAAACATTTAGCGACAGACATAACTCATGGATAATCCGCTCGTCCTCTTCCACATACGTCGGGGCAGGGGACGACGTCCACCATCTGTCCATCCAACGATCTGGGGCTGCGTTGCAGTCCCCTGCTATAATGAACGGAACCCCATCCGAAATTTGCGTCTTGAGGTTTTTAAAAAAGGTTCTCCCCTCATTTACAATGTCGGGGGTGTAGACACACAATATGCATAAAGTTTCAATTTCCAGTGTGACCAGGATGGACACTCATCGACCCCCCTCCTGATCCACCACCCAATGTACTTGGTCCGCCCTGGACTCGGGGGGGAATCTAGATGGTTATCCTTGCACTGTCCGATTTTGGGGCATGGTCCCTGAAGGCCTTGTATCATTGTAGGCCAGATCATTTTGTGGGTACGGTTATGTTCCGGGGTGTCCATTAGGTGTGTTTCCTTAACACACACTATGTCTGGCCAGTTCTTACCTCCCACCCCTCTTATTAAGTCCCATATTGCATTTTGTTTTTCGGGTTTGCATGAGGCCAAGCCATTTACATTTAGGGACCTCAGGTCCAGATCTGCTGCTTGCCTGCATTGGTTCTAGACACGATCCTTCCAATACACCGCCCTGACCGGGTCCATCTTGCTCGACTTGTTCATATGCTCTTTGGTATTACGTAGCATGTAGTTGCTTCTTAGCAGCGAACCCACGACAGCAGATCCCAGTCCCAGTCCACCGTTCCCAACCTAAGGAGGGCACATAAGCATTTCCGAACATCGTGTTCAGTCCAGGTGTCATTGTGCCCTATTTTGGTTGTCTGCAGGTTCAGTAGTTGGGCATGAGTGTGCCACCTTAGACCTGCCTCCTTGGTGGGGTCATCACATATGAAAACATCTCGCTGTGCTATTTTGTCGGGACCCGTTGTGGTTGAGGCTATTGCCTGTGCTCCTGGTGATAAACTTTCTGTAATGTGGTCTTCTAAAAGCATCTGCAGAATACCGGCCGCTGCCTCAGATGTGTTGTTTTGTGTCTCAACCCAAGTTGATGACCAGCCCTGGAGCGTGACCCCCCCTTGCCTGCCATTCTCCATCGGGGATAGTCCCACTTCCCATTTCTCGTTTTTCTTTCGAACACGGATGAGCAGTATAGCTCCTGCGATAAGGGGCCGGAGTCACAGCCCAACTCAAGCAAGTGTCTAAGTTTTCTTTTTCGTATCAGGTCCAAAGGTGTGTTCTCCTCTAGGTCCAGAGGGTCCGGGCCCGGCAGTGGGGTAGTTTGTTGCAGAACTGGGGTTCCAGAGACCTCTGGGCCTATTCCGTGTTTGTCATGTCCGTCATGTTTGTTGTGTCCTGCTCAACTTCATTTGTTGGTGCTGCATGTGGTGGTTGAAACCGACCAAAAACTATTGTAATTAGTTTGTTCCATGCTTCCGTCCACTTCGCCCCCGATTGCAGTCCATTTTCCAACTATGTTGCACGCTGGTCGCGGCCGAGTTCACCCAGGCCGCGGCCGGCGGCCTAGGCCGGGACCCCCCCGGCCGTGGCCGGCCCGGACGAGTTTTTTCGGCCGCGGTGTCGGCCGATCTGGGGGGCGGTTTTCGGAGCGGGGTGCGGGTTTGGGGTGGGGGGGTGGGGGGGCACCCCCTCAAAGTGACAGGGCGTAAAAAAAAACAACAACGGGGGGGTCCTGCACAAGACCCTGGAAGGGTGGCCTGCGAAAAATCCAGCGGCCCCCGTGTGCAGGTTCGTCGATGCGGGGTCGCAGGGAGGAGGGTCTGGAACGGTGGGAAAAAAAAAATAAAAAATTGACCCCTGGGGGTGGCCCAACGTGGGTTGGATGAGGGCCTGGTTGGGGCGGGCCGTGCGGCCAGGCCGGGTCGAAGCTAGACGGGGCTGCAGATGGCAGACCCCAGGCGGATCAGGGCCTCACGCACTGAAAGGTAGGCGTCGGTTTCATTAATGAGGGCGATGACAGTTCGTCGCGTATTTTAAAACAACACATTCATGGCAATCATAAGTTAGACCCTGTTTGACATACCAATATCAGAACACATTGGAAATCAATCAGAGTGCGGCGAACCACAAGTTTCAAACAATGATAACAGACAAGTGTGTCATAGTGTGTGTTCACTCATGAGATTGATGGACATTCATTAGCACATCATTTATGTAAGAACACATTCATTAGCACATCATCCCTATGTCGCATATGAAATTAACAGCACATTCATAATGGAGGCATCCATGACATGCAGGTGCGTGGCATCGGAGAAGCACATAATTTGCAACAATCACGACAACAGAGCAGAAAACAATCACCAAACAACAGCGACTCGGATGCAAGACCAATGTTGGCGGAGGAACAAGAACAAGAGTAAATATATGACAAAGCATTTCAATGGAAATGCGTATGTACAAGGCTGAAGCCAAAAACTGGACCCGTAGTCTCTGCTACACAACATAGTAGCAAAACAAAAACTGGACCCGTCGACGGGCGTCGTCTCTACTGTACAACGGAGTAGGAAAAAAAAAATGAAAACCCTAATGTCCACATTGTCTCTAATGAAAACCGAGTACGAAAAAGAAAAATTGAAAACCCTAATGTACAACCGAGTAGGAAAAAAAATTGGACCCATCGTCTCTGCTACACAACAAAGTAGCAAAAAAAAACTGGACCCGTCGACGGGTGTCGTCTGTACTGTACAACCGAGTAGCAAAAAAACACCACGGACGTCGTCATCTCCCACCAGAGCGCGCGAGGCCTCTCCCGGAGGACGTGCGGCCATGCGCTCCTCCCCGGCGCCCTCCTCTCCCTCCGGCACCTGTGCCCCGTGCCCCACTGACGTATGCCGCATGTGCTGCAGCGGCCGCCGCGACCACCTGTGCCCTGTGTCTGCGGGCAGCAGTCTCGATAAGCTTGGACTCAGTGTCTGCGTCCTCGTCCTCTTCCGCCTGTGCAACAATCCCCCTCTCTCTCTCCCTCTGAATCGCGTCCAATGCTGCCTGCCCAGCGGCGACCCCTGCAGCGAGTCGAGCCTCAACCTCTGCGAGGCCATGCTGTCGTCTCGTCCCAGGATGCATCAACAACCCGTCCTCGCCCAATGTGAATTGCTCTCCCCGCAGCCTGTCCGTGGATGTCCTTGAGGCCTCGAGCACCAATGTCCTCCTCGTCTCCGCTCGTGACAAACCAAGCATGCGGCCTGCCATCTGCAGGCTCGGACGTCCGGACCCGCCCTC